CCAGAGGCATGGTGTGTGGTACTTGTACAATGCTAGGTTGTAGGGCCCAGCAGCTGGATCATTGGCGCATGTGCCCGCTGCTCAAGGCTGTAGTTTTGGTGGATGCGACACAGAGGGGTGAAGAGACCACACGGCAAGCACTGATTTGCTATTTATCCCCTGCGCACTCTACAGGACCACCAAGCTGCCCAAGTTCAATGTCACCCATATCCCGGCCAACTACCCCTTCAGCGTTGGGTTCGCTGCCAAGGTATGTGCTGCCCCCTGCCCCGCTGGACCCTTTGCGATGGCTGGTTCCATTTGTGCATGCGTCGGCAAAGCAGCCCTCCGGCTGTTCGCAATCATTATGAAAGCTCAACACCTCACCTGCTTTACTCCGTCTTGCTCAGGTGTGCGTGCCCAAGCCGAGCAGGAGCAACCCCCTCAGGTGCACCAACAAGTTCCTCACTGCCGGCGCCGCCACCGCCACTTGCAACAACGGCACCCTGGGTCTGGAGTTCGAGTCGGTGCAACGGTTCGTCATCGGTCGCCAGCACACCGTCGTCGCCACCTGCAGCAAGAGCAGGTGTGTAGTGCACAGAGATTTGCTTGTGTTGGGGCGCTGCTAAGATTGGATGACAAGACACGGCATTTTCCAGATCCGAGGCCCGTGCGCGGCAACAGCTGCAAAGGCCCTGCACTTCCAGGAATGACTCTGACCATGATGTCCCAACCTTTGTGATGTGACCGTTGCAGGTTCAACGACATCTCGTCTTGCGCCACTCCCAGCGACTCAACCGTCACCCCCACGCTGTCCGGTGGTGTCAAGATCACCAACAAGGACTTCGATGCCGGCTGCGTGTGCAGGTCGACCGGCCGTAAGCCGGTGCTGAACCTCATCACCACCGACGTCCTCGTGGGCCAGCAGTGCCTTGCATAAGCACTGGCGCAAGCTGGGCGACGCTGCACCATCCATGCACATTGGCGCACAGCCATGAGCAGTGCAGCTGCTGTGCTCCACTCGCGTGTGCACCCCCGCTGGGGTCCGAGCACCTTGCGCGCGGACCCGCAGCTTTCTGGGTGATGCACCCAGTGGCGCGGGGAAAGGCACAGATGTGAGGGCCTGGCGCCGGGTGGGACAGCAGCCTTGGTGGACCATGCATGCCTGGTTCTGCCTGGTTTCCTGCCTGGTGTTGTGTCCGAGCATCCCGTGCACCGACCATAACTGGTTGCGCATGCGCACGCAGCTTTTGCTGCGACGTGCTGCTGCTCCTGCCCACGGCCTTTTCGCCCTGTGGCGCATCTTCTGCGGTGCCTGCCCCCATGCTGTGGCTGCACAGCTGCCCCACATGGCCATGGAAGTGTGTGGGATGCTGTTTCTGCTACGCTGGCACTGGCCATCGCATGATGGGCAAGAATGGCTCGCAACTCCGGATGCACAGGCATGCCCCTTTGCGAACACCTGCTGGTGACATTTAGTGGAATCCTTGTGATGAAGTAGCCTTATCTCTCTACACAACACGTCTGTCTTCTTCGTCTGTGCGTGTGAACATGCTTGCGGTCTCCTGTCAGGGGTTCTGCCTGAGGGAGGGGTACGCATAAGCATATCTTCCCTTGCGGATGTGAGCGACCCTCCCTTGGGTGCTCCAGCCCATCCCCTCGCGAGCTTGCCTTCCGACATGCATCGGGACAACAGCAGTTTCAGCTGCCGAGCACGCATTATTGTTACGACATGTGTCATTGGCCAACCAGGCTGTGGATGCGGCGGGTGCCCAGTTTGGGCAAAAAGAACGGGCACTCACATGGCTGTGAATTGTACTGCCAGGGGCGGGACGGCGGAATCAACCTTTGCAGTGCTCACGGCATTCATCGCAGCAGCATGGTGTTAATGTCTGGCGAGCAACGATGTTTGGTGCCCGCCTGTGAGGCACGCCTGGCCTGGATTTGGCGCGCCTAACCATCGCTGGTCACTTCCTGGTGCCCGCCCAACCTTTCTCATGTGTGATGTGCGTTGTGATGTACGCGCACCATACGAGGCGAGGTTGCTTTTGGGTGTTATTGCCTGGACTCCCTCTCTCACAGTTCTGGCCCGGACGCTCGCAGTCCCGTCCCTTTGTGGTGGTGCCATGGGCGTGCTTGGTTATGCACTCCCTGTCGAGTTTCAGCACCCACGGCAGGCATGGATGATCTGTATTGACGCAGGCAGGATGGGATCCAAGTGTAAACGGTTGCTTCGCGGTGTTGCGGACGTAGTCTGCTGATCCGACTGGAGCACCTGCCGACTTCCTTGCCTTGGCCCACCCGTTGCCCAAACACCTGGGGGCGTATGAAAACCACTCTCGACGAACTTGAAACGGGGTATGGATTGATGCACAACAACACGCTTGCTTTCGGCAAGCCAACCACACGCTGCGGTGGGTCGGGTGCACGTATCTCGCACCGGCTTGATATCTACCTGGTCGCTTCTGAGTAGGCGTCTGACGGTCCACTGCATGTGTAACCCACAGCCCCAGATACGACGAGAGCATGTCAGCTGAATGTGCTGCCAAACGAACTAGATGGGGGTTGTGGGGAAGTTTCAGGAGTTCCACGAAGTTGCATGGAGACACATGTGATGGAGTGATGCCAGGGCGCGCAAATGGCTGGGTGGAGATGCAAGCTGGCTGACCTTGAAAAGAGTACAGTCGGGGGCACCCACACACTTCTAGGAGTCCCCAAGTGAGCGCACACCTGCGCAAGCATTAAAAATAATCGAAGCAGCCGCACAGCTCAGTCCTCCAGGAAGAGTGACCTAAAAAAGCTTTATGAGTAAGCCCGCCATAGGGCAGGCCGGCCGCACGGCGCACCCCCCCCCCCCTCCAAAAAAATCATAACAAGCACACGACAGGGCTGCAAGGCGGCTGAAACCGCCACCCGACGCAACCGCAACTAACAGACAAGCAAAATCAACATAGAGAGCGGGGGGAGGGAGGGGGACGAGTTGGGACAGAAGACGGGACAATGAGGAGGGAGGGGGGCTGGGAGGGTGGCAGAGGATGAGTTGGGTGCAGCTGGAGGGATGGGGCGCAGCGGACACACGTGCGCAGAGCAACGACGCAGAGCCAGCAACGTTGTCGCAAGCTTCCTTGCTAACCAGCAAAGTCACGTTGTGCCAGGCGGGCGCTCTGCATGCACAGTATGCACCTACACCTGCTGCTCAGACGCCAATTTGTCATACAACTGTCACACCCAACTCGGCGAGTGCTGCGTGGCCCACAGCCACCAAAACAGCTGCTACCAATCGCCGACAGGCACTGAGTTGCTGTGCATCATTTCGCTTGTTGTCTTTCCCCGACACAACTCCTGGAAGATCCGCGACAGGATAGTGCTAAACAACCAGCCCAGGAAAGCACACATATGTGTAAATTCACGAAACGGGAAAAATTAGTTATGTGTCCTGTCCATCAGCGGTAGGCGCGGCAGGCACCATGAGCGAAGCAGCCGGCTCGGACGTAGGCGCCGAACTCTCGATCGACGGTGCCGTCCGTGAAGTTCTGCATGTCCTGAAGCGCAAGACAAGGGGCGGGGGCTCGACCTTCGACCGGGCCTCAGACTCTCTCGACGCGCTGGATGCGGCGGCGCGAGCCGACAGGGCCTCGCCAGTAGCGCCCGCATTGCTTACGGTGAGGGCTCCTCGCAAGCGGTCTCGCATGCCAGGGCCAAACACACAATGATGGTGGCGCTCTTCAGCGGGCGCGCTCGGCCCACATGCACACGCCCTGGCACGCGCCCTTGGGTCTGCAACGTTGCGGTCCCTGGCGCCGCGCCGCTCCCGCTGCAGTCCCTGGTGGCGGGCCTCCGCACCGCCGGCGCGGGGGCGGTGCAGGTAGTGCTGCAGTGTGAGGTCCTGTCTCAGGGTGAGCGGCGCCGCGCGCGAGCGCCCCGGCCCAAGCCGGGCCTCTGGGCGACCGAGCTGACGCGCAGCCGCTGGAAGACGAGCGGCGGCCTCGTCGCAGCCCCAGCGGCCCCGTCGCAGCGCCGCGCACCGCCTCTCCAGGTCATCGCCCCCGCCCGCGCTCCGCGTGCTGCCACACTCCCGGCATCTGCGCTGCAGGCAATGCGGCCGCCCGCCAGCCCCAGTTGTTGGAGGAGCCCAGCCTCCTGCCGCGCGCCGTGACGGCCCTCACAAGCGCCAACGTCTACACACAGCGCGACGCGGCGGCTGCGCTCGCGGCGCTGACGCTGGGGAACCGGTCCGTGGCGCTGCGGCTGCTCCAGGAGCCCTGTGCGCTGGCGGCGCTGGCGGGCTGCTTTGACGTCTCTGACCGCAGCACGTGCGGCGGTCTGCGGGACAGGCGCAAGCCCAAGGCGCCCGCGTCGGCGCTCGCAGGGCGCCCTGGCCCCTCAGAGGCAGGAACTCAGGGCTCTCGCGGGATAGTATCGGGCTGTCTGTCAGCAACAGCTGCCGCCACACAGATCCACGCAGCCGCCCTCAACACTTGTTTTACCACCCCCCCCCCTGTGGCCTCCGCGCCCGTGCCTGCAGCACCCACATGGAGGTCATGAAGCACGTGTTGGACGTTGCCAAGCACATCGCCGCCCTCACCGGCGCTGAGGGCGCGCGCGCGCGCTGGTGGCCCTGGACGCCCTCCTCACCGCCGCCTGCATGCGCGCGGGCTCGCCCAAGGCGCGGTGCGCGCGCGCGGCGTTCGGGGCGCTGCTGGTGCTGCTGGATGCCGCCCCCGTGGGGCTGGGTCCGGTCGCGGCCTGGGGCAGTGCAGGCGGGTGGCGGCAGGGGCTGTTGCTGGAAAGCCTGAGTGACAGGCATCAGACGCTGCTGTTGGTCACGTTTGCCGCGTTGGTGCCGAACAAGGTGATGTCTATGCGTTTGCGTGCGCATATGCGTGCGCATGTGTGCGTCAGCATGCGTGCATGCGTGCATGCCCACGCGTGTGAGCATGTGTTGGCATCAGTGTGTACGTTTGCAAGCGAGCATGTGTGCAGATCATCATTCCTGCTCGCGCGTGTACACATCGTGCCCCAGCCCGACCCAGCCGCCCGCGCCCCCTCTCTAGGACACCACCAGAAGCAGCACCAACGCTGACGCCGTGCCCCAGGAGGTTCGGGACGCGCTGGTATCGGGGCTGAAGCTGATGCAGGCGGTGGTTGAGGAGGAGCACCGCGTCTTTGCTGTTTCCGCCATGGTCAACACCGTGCCGATCCGGCTGGCGCGGCTGGCGTGCCGGGAGCCCTGCGCTGCAGACACGGAGGTGGGCCCCTGCGTTGGGCGCTGATGCGGGCACGCCGCAAGACCTGGGCTGTGCCATCGCGCGATGCGGCCCTACCTCGTATCTGACTGTGGGTGCGCATGTGGGTGTCTATGTACATGGATGCATGGCATGTGCACGTGCGTGCTTTGGCGCCGCAGGGTTTTGCGCTGCGCACGACCTGTAAGACCCTCCTTTTGGCTGCCCAGCACATGCCACCTCAGCCCCCTTGCCACCGCTGCGCCCCGTGCCGCTACGGGGAGCCGCGCAGGTCGGCGCTGCGAGCGCTGGACGCGGAGCTGTCTTGCAGCCCCGAAGCTGCCGCGCACCTGGCGGCCGATGAGGCGGCCATGCTGCCGCAGCCACAGCAGTGGGGCCGGCAGGAAGTCGTTGCGAGCGACCAGGGCCACCCCACAGTCGTATCCCCGGGGACGACCCCGCGCCTCGCCGCGCTCTGCGCGCCGCACGCAGCCCCTCTGCTTTCGGCGGCCGCGGCGCACGACCTCGCCGCGGCGCTCGCAGGCGCGCTCACGGCGCTGCGGCCCGACACTGGACGCGCGCCTGGGGAGCCGGCGTTCTCGCCGCTGGCGCTGACTTGGGCGGGGCCCGCCCTGGAACCCCTTGGAGTCGCGAGCGATCAGCCCTGCTTGGCCGAGACCCTCTTGCAGGACGACGACCTCATTTGGCTCGTCAGCCAGCTGGTCGGAAACACCCGCTGGCGCCTCTCCAACTGCTACGGCGCCGCGTGGCTCCCCACCATGAGCGCCGCCGCCGTCGCGCTCGCGCGGCTGGCGCGCCTCGGGGAGCCGCGGCCGCCGCCAGAGTTTGGCGGGCACTGCCTGCTCGCGCCATTGCTGGCGGCGCTGTGCATGCACGAGTCCGAACCGGGGGCGGCCGCCCGCATGGCGGAGGCCGGGCACCCCGCTCCCTGTAGCGTGCAGGTGCACGCCGCGGTGGCGGTCGCCAGCGCGCATTTCTAGGCGTTGCTCATCAAGTCGCTCTGCTCTTGTGGGGACGACCTCGCAGAGGCGTGGTGCGGCTTTGTCCGGCACGCGCCCGCCCTGCTGCGGCGCTGCCGATGTCTGAGCTCGATCGGCAGCGAGCGCGGCGCCTGCGGCAGTGCAGCCTGCGGCAGGGCGAGGGGCGGTCGGGCGCGGAGGACGCCTCGGCGGGCCGAGCAGCAGCTGCGGAGGACGCGCGCGCGGACGGCTTGCAAGACATGTTGGTGGCGCTGCTCGTGATCTTGACCAACTTGCTGCTGCTGCGGACGCCAGGTGGGGACGAGTGGGAGTTTGTTGTGACGGCATCGACGGCATCCCCGACGGTCAGTGATGGCGACAGCCTGGGCCCTGATGGCGGCGGCGGCGGCGGCAGGGGCCAATCAGGGGCCCCCCTGACCTTGGAGTTGCAGCCGGCAGCCAATGGGACGCCCTCGCCGCGGCTCTCGCGCAGATCGGCGGCTGCGCGGAGCTGGCCACGCGCGCGCGGCTGGCCCTGGCGGTGGTCGAGGCGCGGCGCGCCGTCGCTCTAGGCGCGGGCGGCGCGCGGCGGCCCCGGCGGCGCGGATGAGCGCAGTTGCTGTTGAAGTGCCTGCTTGCACGGCAGTTGGAGGGTGTGGCCATGCGTATCATTTTGTCGGACGGCAGCGGGCGCGGCGCACTCGCCATCAGCGATTTGCGGGCGAAGCTGTTGCAGCGTTTGCAGCACCGGTGGCATCACAATCACGCGGAGTCGTTGCCGGCGGACACAGTATTGGCAAGCAGGGTGGCGGCTTGGGTTGATCCAGAGGCGACGACCGAGAGGGTTGCGTGGCAGCGGCAGCTGTTCAATCAGCAGGAGCTGGATACCCAGCAGCAGCAGCAGCAGCAGCAGCAGCAGCAGCAGCTTGGGAAAACTGAGGAGGAGACGGCAGAGGAGGAGGCTGCAGAGAAGGAGCAGGCTCAGGCGCACACAGACAGCGGACGGGGAACGCAGCACCTGCCGTTCAACGGCCATCTATTTGCCCTGGTGCGGACCTTGCCTAGCCCTGCGCTTGGGAGCAATTCGCCAATATCGGACAATCAGAAGTGCAGCGCCTGCCCAGCAGCCGGCCGTGCGGGGTCTGCCCAGCGGGCGCCCGCATGCTCGCGTGTCGCGCCGCGCTACGGCCTGGCAGAGATGCGTTCGATGCCCCCGACCGCCAGGCGGGTGACCTTGCTGGCACTGCAGCTGATCTTGGAGTTGAGCGATCGGGAGGCGCGAAAAGTCAAAGGGGGGGCTGGGGAGAGTTATGAACCCATCAGCCCCCCACAACTGCGCGGCGAGGCCGACAGGCGCAGCTCGCCGCGCCGTTGCTGCGCGTATTGCGGCAGGACGTCCTCGCAGGGCGCGGCGCTGCGGCGCTGCGCGGGGTGCGGCGCGCTGACGGGTGTGCGCTACTGCAGCCAGGCCTGCTGCCGCAACCACTGGGCGCGGACGGGGCACAGGCAGCAGTGCGAGCAGGCAAAGCGGCAGCTGTGCAAGCAGCGGCAGCAGCAGCAGCAGCAGCAGCAGCAGCAGCAGCATGAGTGAGAGCAGCAGTTGCTTTAGACATTGTTTGAACCGGGGCCCTGATATACATGTTGCTGTCATGCAGTGCATCTCCAGCCTGGTCATCAGCGTGCGGCCGCTGCCGGTATTGTACATGGGTCCAGATTTAGCCAACAGCATGCTTGGCTTGAGTCGGCTGTGCAGACAGTATTTGTAGTCTATTCAAACCTGTATTGCTGTTTCTTTTGTGAAGCAGTTGTGAGTCAATGCTGTTGTGGGAGACTGCCCGATTTTTGTGTGCCTGGTGACTCATCACTGCAGGGATGGCTTCTGAAGCGGGGGACCATGCGATGTGGTAACAATTCGTATCCTATTGATGTTGTGCAACAGGCAGGCCAGGTGGCAGCAAACCTGCCAGCTCCTCGGGCATGCAATGCACGCAAAATGATATCGAATCCAGGGGCAACAGCAAGCAGCGCGTCAGAATGCGACAGGACGGCGAAAAGCGCCCGCGCTGGCGGGGCATGGGCCAAGCCCCCACCTCCTCGCCACAGTCCCCTAGCCCGGACAGCCAGTTCGACCTCGGCAAACGCAATGAAGCCGCCGAGACGAAGAGAGGCTCGAGCAGCGCCTGCCAGCCAGGTGCACATGGCACCAGCGCACCTCGCTAAGATATCACATACACACAGCATGCAGGTGGTACAGCTGAACGCAATGTCAACAGCAAGTTGGCCATGCGCTGCATCAAGCTGGTATACTACAGCACAACTCGTGTAGCGCACCTCCTGGCAGCTCAGCCAAACGCCGACTTCGGTGAAAGATTTTGAAGGGTGGAGACAAGCGCCCTGCTGCAAGTGTTGCGCATGCACGCGCTGCGCTGCCAGCAGCCCTGATGCATGTTTGGATGCACACGGGCTGCTGTGGGCGTACGCTGCGGCGTTCTGCTGCACCCGGGTTGTTCCTGTCAGTGGTGTACAGCATGCTGGTACTGTATGCGGCCGGCGAGCGCTAAGTGCCCCTGCAGGCACCCGCTAAACACCAGCAGCTCGCAGGGATGTTTGGTACGGTGTGATACGATACTGAGATACGGTATGATACGATACAATACGGTGTTATACAGGTGGCACGGTGGGGGTCCATAAAATACGGTGAAGAATACGGTGGGCATCTGGCGGGGTGGCTCGCACGCAGGCGCCGCGTGTGTGGGTGCCTCGCGCGCATGCGTCGCGTGCATACATACCGGGGGCCTATTTGCTAAAGTTGGCATAACCTAACTACCCAATTCGGCCAATTGTGCCCCGAGACGGACGCGTGTCTGCGCTTGGCAGCACGTGGCTGTACTGCGGCCTTGGTGGACAGCAGGTTGCTGTGCGGGCCAGCAGGCGCACGTTGCAGGAGTTTGATTACCGCCAGCAACAACGGAGGCAGCAGGGGCGCGTTGGACCAGCATGCAGTTATGGTCCCGTGGGTGAAGCGCAGCTGGCAGCGGAAGCGGTGGACACAAGGGCCAAAGCTGCGCAAGCCGACGACCCACACTTGCCGGAAGCTGACTGCGTGCTGCATCATTGCCGCATGCGAGCTGGCAGAGCGTTTGGCGCGCAGGCGGCTGCACTTGATGACACCCCATTCACCCAGCAGCCGGCTTGTGATGCATGCGTGACGCGTGCATCAACCAATCGTGTCAGGCAGCCAGCAGCCAGGTGGTGGGCAGCCCGGGTTCGATCACGCCGATGCGCAGCCGGGGATTTGTTGTGTGACAGGCAGTCGGCATGTTCGGCGCAATGGTCAACTTGAACCCAAGCGAGCTGCAGTCTCGGATTGCTGCGGTCTCGGATTGCTGCGGTCTCGGATTGCTGCGCTCAGCAATCACAGCTGGCTCAGTCGGTAGGGGGACCTCTGCTGGTGCTCGGGAACAACGCTGGCCCGGGCCCGGACGGTCACGGGAGGCGATCTGTAGGGTACCCGAGGATGCTTGCGGCGCGCGCGCGGGCGCTGTCGCCGCCGATGGCTGTCGCCGGTGGAGAAGGGAGCGCGGACGGCGGCTGGGCGCCGGTCCTGGGTTGCTCGCTGTGGCGCGGACGGAGGGGTGCGAATCCGCTGGTGGACTCTGATCGTCAAGTCGCTGGTTGCATACGTATTTTCTTTTTTCGAGCAGAACTCGCTCTCCAATTTATTCTCAACCAAAGAAAGTACAATGCTTCCTGCGGGGCTTCCGGCTTCTTCAACAAGTGTGATATTCCTTTAACACTCCTGGAGCTGAAAGATCATAGCTCCCAGGAGCAGGGCACAACAGCAGGCTGTACCAGCTCAGCTCAGCTGGGGCCTGCTGCAGCTACCACGCAGGCGTCGGCGGAGTCATGGTGACCTGCCAACCGCTTTCCGCAGCTCTCCCCGTCAACAATAGATATAAAACAGAACAAGTTCCTTCCTGAACAAGCAGCAGGAGCCTGCGCCTCGGCCTCCGCGGGATCACTCGGGTCAATCACAAAGTTTGATTCCCCATTGTGACGAGACCAGTGAGGCGCACGCATCGCAATATGCTAATCAACGCGCCAGAAATCGGCAGACGCGGAGCAGGAGGGGCAGCAGGCAATTTGGCAAAGTCAAAGGAGCAGCGGCTGCACGGCGCACACTGCTGCGAGGGGGCCTGCCCAGCCACCTGCATTCACTGCTGCGCCTGTCACGCCAGGTCATGGCTGGTGCACACAGTGTGGCGGGGTACGCAGTATCCCGTTACAAGCTGGCGGCTCCCACTTGGCGAAGAGGACGGAGCAGAGTAGCAAGACAGGGCAGACTTGGTTGACACCATTGGCAGCTGCGCGCAGGCGGTGGCGGCCGCAGTCACCTCACCGTTCGCTGACGGCGTGGCAGCAGCGGCTCACAAGCCCCGCGCAAGAGGCACAACAGGTTGCCAACTGCGCCTGCGCTGCTGGGTGGTGTGCCCAGCCGCACCATCCAGCTCAAGCTGTGGGATCCCGATGGGGTTAACGCAGCGCTGGTGCAGGGTGGGACGTTCGAGGTGCTGGCAGCAAACGTGACAATATCTGGGGAGGCTTGGTTGGGATATGCACAAGGCTCACGCCCACTTGTGCTGCCTGTTGTGTGAGTTTGCCATGATGCTGGCGATATGTGAGGTTGCCGAAATGCCGTCACGGCACGGTGCTATCATCACAGCAATCCCCGTTGCCCTCTCTACCCTTGCCAACAGAGTACGAGGAGGAGCTTGCTCGGTGCCAACTGCAGTTGTGCTGCGTAGCTCCTGCCCCTGCAGCGCGAGATTGCTGGTGCCATCGCCTACGTGGTGTGTGGCCACTGGCTGGACGCCATGTGCTGGGCACCCCCGCCCGCCGATGGCGTCGTCAAGGTCGGGCGCAACAGCCACACTGATGGGCGCAGCGGCACGCCGCGTTCGGGGCGAGGTTGCAGCAGGCACAGCACGCTGCGCTTTTGACGAGCCTGCCTCATGCGTGTGGCCGGCAGAGGCGTTCTAAGCAGAGTGCGCCAGGCTGTGATCCCCGGAGTAACCTGTCCTCACGCTTGCCTTGGTGAGGGGGCGGCGCGGCGGCCTCGGCCCCCGCAAGCCAGCCCCCTCTTCCTTAATTTACGCGGGCGTCACAGCCTGCGTAGTCTCTCTCTCTCTCTCTCTCCTCACGCTTGCCAAGAATATCGTCACCGGCGGCGTCCTGGCCAGCTGATTGCGTTCCAGGCAGTCCACAGCCACCCCTTCACATACTGCTAAATCCCTGTCGCTTCTGTCCCCAATTTCGGTTGGACGGTGCGGGCGTAGTGCACCTGCAACTGTCGTGCGTCATGCTGCATGCTAGGTGAAACGGCAGATGCTTGCTTTGTAATCGCAATTCGGGAGCGCCGTAGGCCGCAGGCCACGCGGCTTCTTTGTGAAGGGTCGAGAGAAGCCATGAAACCACGCGTTGAGAGCCTTTCCCGTCCACTGGCGGCCACAAGGGAAGGCCATGGTCCAAGGTCACTCGGCATAGAGATCTGGTGCGAAGGTGAATCCGCGGGAAGGCTGTAATACAATAATGTTATCAATTTTTTGGCAGATAGTCCGCCTGCCTGCCTCTGCCTCGCCTATGCAGTGCCACAAGCTGCTGCTACAGTACTAAGCTCGCAAAACACTCGGACGGACCTGCGAGCTGCACCGCTGCATGATTACAACCCATACGACTATGCTGTTGTTTTTCGCATAGTTGAGCTTGCGTTTTGGTAGAGAGCTGCTTGGTCCAAGTGGCTGTCTGCGCACGGCCGACCACCCCAAAGCTGCTCAACCACAAGCAGCCGCCCGGCATCTCTGGTGGCATACCAAGCAAGCTAGGTGAGGCCCCCAAAGCTTGAGGAGGTGTAATCTCAACAATTCGCGCCGTCTCAGGTTTGTAACGTAGAGGGTTCCTGTTTAGCCCCTGGTGCTCTGGACTGCAGCGGCGGACAGCTTTTGTGGCCCGTGGGCCTCCCCGCTTCAATCGGGCAGGGGCGCAAGTCTTTATGGCAGACATTCAGCTCAGCTTTCTCCCTCCTGCGGGCCAGGGCAGTAGCGCCCTGACACGCTCACGTCAGCAGCCACCCGCCACCCCCTTCTACTCACCCGTCACCCCCCTTCCCGTGAATGACTTGCCCTCACCCTTGCCGTCCCCCGCTCATCCTCCTTGTCTCCCCCTCAGTCTCACCATGGCCCGCCACCCGATGGCGTCCGCTGTCGTCCTGGCGGTGCTGCTGCTCGCTGCGCCGTTAGCCGCCGCCAGTATTGACGGAGAGCGCACTGGCCGTGAGCTCCAGCAGCTCGGTGGCCTCACTGGTGGCCTGGGTGGCCTCACCAGCGGCCTCACCAACGGCACCGGCGGCAGCCTCTTGGGCGGCCTTCTCAACACAGTTGCTGGCATCCTCAACGCTCTCCTGGGCACCACTTTGGGGGTCACCAATGGGTCCGTCGCCAACCCCGTTGGCGGCCTCCTTGGCGGCCTCCTGGGTGGTTCCTCAGGCGGCCTCCTGGGCGGCACCTCAGGCGGCCTCCTGGGCGGCCTCCTTGGTGGCACCAGCAGTGGCGGCCTCCTGAGCGGCGTCCTTGGCACCGTCACAGGCCTCCTCGGCTCCAACCCTACCGGTCTCCTGAACACCCTCACCGGCCTCACCGGCGGCGGCCTCCTGGGTGGCGTCACAGGCACCTCTGGCGCCACCGGGGGCCTCCTGAGCGGTCTCACGGGCGGCCTCGCTGGCGGTCTTGTTGGTGGTGTCACCGATGTCCTTGGCAACATCCTGTCTGGCTCCACCTCGGGCCTCCTGTCCGGCACTGTGGGCGGCCTCCCCCTGGTCGGCGGCCTCTTTGGCAGCAAGTCCGGCCTGCCTGTCCTCGGCGGCCTGTTCAATAGCACCCAGCTGAGCAAGTCTGGCCTGCCTATTGTGGGCAGCCTCCTGGGCAATGTCCCCGTTATTGGTAACGGCGGGCTTCTCACCAACATCCTGGGCCTCGCCTCCGGCGACCTCCTGGGTGGTGGTGGCCTCAATGCTGTTCTGAACGGCGTCCTGAACAACGCTGTGGGCCCCGTGCTGGAGACTGCGGCTGGGCTCCTGCCCGGCGTCACCAACGCCGTTCCCCTCGTCACCAACCTCCTTGGCGGCAACCAGAGCTTCATCCTGGCACCCACTGACGTCTCGTTCATCGGCGGCAAGGGTGCGCTGCTGTCCAGTGTGCTCTCCCTCAACCCCAACGCCCTGCTCTCTGTTGTGGGCATCACCAAGCTCCCCGACATTGGCAACATCACGGTTGGCATCGACGGCAGCTTCCTCTACAACGGGCCCAACCTGAACGGTGAGAGCACAACACAACACGATTTTGCACAGTGGATTGGCATGTACAGTATGATAATGACCTGCTTCTTTGGATGTTTTGATCAGAAGCGTCATGCTGCACGGGGCTCACTACATCGGGGTCCCTTGCAATGTGTTTGTGCCATCATCACAGTGCGCGTCTTGCCACAGCGCTAAATTGTGGCCCCCTGTGCTGTTTTCCTTTCCGCAGGCTCCGTCAGTGTGTGCATCCAGGTCACCGACCTGCTGTCCACCGCCCCCATCTGCATCGACCTGATCCGCAACCTGCAAATCCCCGCCGTCGGGGGCATCCTGCCCCTGGTGTTCAGCAACAAGACCGTCATCGACCTCAAGGGCGGCACCAACTTCACCGGCAACCTGCTCAGCGGCGTGATCTCGCCCAACCTCAACCTGGGTGGCATCCTCAGCGTTGCGGGCCTCGGCCTCCTGCCCGATGTTGGCACCATCAACATTAACAAGGATGGCACGTTCACCTTCAACGGCATCCTGAACGGTGCGCATTGAGTCTGACAAGAAATAACTTACTGAACAACAATCTGAAATGGCTGACAGTCTGCCACTGGTTGCTTGTTCCTGGCAGCATGTGCCCTCCTCTGCCTTGCCATCCAACGCGGCATACTCTTTTTCGAGTCCTACCTTCCACTGACTGGCTGGACCCTTGCTGTTGCACTTGCAGGCACCACCATGTTCTGTGCGGTCGTCACCGATACGCTCTCGACCCTGCCGCTCTGCCAGACGATCTCCAACCTGCTGCCAGCTCTGCCTGAAATCCCCCTGCCCGTCTGCCTCCCCGGCTGCCTCAACGGCGGTGAGCTGCTATGATAGACCAGCTGATTTTGCTGACAGTCTCAGCCGGCCTGGTCCCTCAGGTCACTAATGCGGCAAAATTGTGTGTAGCAATCGCTCCATGCCACACTTGCGCCACACTTGCACGTCTTGGCACCCGCAAAATCCATTGATCGTGCACTCCCTCCCAGGTGTGTGCAACGGCCTGCTCAGCTGCGATTGCACTGGCACTGGTTTCACGGACAAGATCTGCTCCACCCCTGTTGGTAGGTTGCTGACTTATGGTCGGAATTGAGATGTTTTCATCCTGCTGGGGCGATTTGCTGTGCCTGGGGTTAGACTCCTCAGGGGTTGCTGCAGAACAGGTAGCCAGCGCACACAGAAACAAGTACACAAATGATATCGAAGCCAAATTGAGAGCAAATGCATGCTGTGAGGCAATAGGGATGTACACCCAAGCACACTCAACATCTCAAACCTTTGCATCCATCCCTGCGCCACACACTGCAGTGTGCAACCCCGCTTGCCAGAACGGTGGCCGATGCTCTGACCCCAACACGTGCGACTGCACTGGCACCGGGTTCACTGGCCCTACCTGCACGACGCCCGTTGGTAGGGGGAAATCAAGTCATGAGATCAAGTCGTCTTGGGAAACTTGCATGGAATCTGCTTGGGGTGTTGCGCACGTGGCTGTGCCTAGCCCCAAGACGCCTGACTAAAAACTCTGCCCTACCACTCGCAGTGTGCACCCCCGGGCTGTGCAAGAACGGCGGTGTGTGCACGTCGAACAACACCTGCAACTGCGACCGCACTGGTTTCACTGGCCCGACCTGCACGGGGCCCCCGCCGGGTGAGTGGGCAGGTACTGGTGGGTGGCGCGTGATTGGTCCACGAGCAGCTACAGGGTCATAATTGCATAATCTGGCCACCTCCACTATGGTGGGCAGCTTCACATTGGTGCAGTTGTTATCTTTTCTAATTATTTGACACCCTGGCTGGAGGGAGCCACAGTGCCTCTAATAGTGTTCTATTCATATGTATGCCCCCTTCCGGGACAGTGTGCAACCCCACTTGCCAGAACGGAGGACCTTGCATCAATACCAACAAGTGTGCCTGCACGCCGGGCTTCGCTGGCCCTGTGTGCAACTCTACTACCACCGTCCGTGAGTGTATTCCTGGGCATCGGGTTGTTAATGGAGCTGGAGCAGAGCAGGTGGCAATGATTGGCAGCATTCAATCTTAAACAACATATGTTCTCAATATCAAGGGTGATCTGTGTCATGTTGACATCAAGTGCCCCGAAATCTGTGCCATTGACACCAAACCGGAACTTGATGCCAAATCCTCTCGCCCACCCTCCCCCCGTTTCACCATGATCTGCAGCCCCGGCGGGCACCACCCCCGATGTCACGTTCATCTGCCCTTTGTGACGGTGTGTGCAAGATCGCCGCGCCCGGCGTGCTCAAGGCTGCGCCCAGCCCCAACGGCTTTGTTGTTGTTTCGACCTCCAAGCCTGGTGTGGGCACGCTCGCCGTTACCTCTGACGGCGCCATCACGTTCACCCCGCCGCTGTGAGTGCCGGCCAGTTGCCCAGGGTGATGGGGCGGACTCTGGGCTGCCAACTCAGTTTGCATGCGCAGCAAGAAGGACTTAACGTTGATTGTATGATTGTTGCTTAGTATGTTTCCCTTCTCTTGGACGCAGGGGCTTTGCCGGCAACACGACCTTCACCTCTCTGGTCACCAACGGCACCCTGGCCAAGAACCTCCTGATCCAGCTGTCCGTGACGGACCCCGCACCCCCGGCCCCCACCGCCGGCGACGACACCTTCAACTGCCCCTTCAACGCCGACTGCGTGATCGCCGCGCCCGGCGTGCTCGCCAACGACGCGACCACCAACCCTGGCGGCAAGGTTGTCGTGGTCAGCAACACCGGCAACGTCACTGTGACCCCCGCGGGTGCCATTACCCTGAAGCTCGTCCCGTGAGTGCAGTGAATGTGCAGGGCTGGCCTGGGTGCGATGCTTGAACTGGACTGCTTGGATCAAGCAAGGGTACGGGTAGCTGCTTGGCAACGCTTAAAAATTGGGTGGCGCCTCACGCATGCCCTCCCCCCACACCCACCCTGCCTCACCTGCAAACTTATCGTGCTTGCTGCCTGCCCTCCTTCCTGCTGTTCAGGGGCTTTGCCGGCAACGTGGTTTTCAACTACACCATCAACGACGGCGTCTCCATCAAGCCCGTCACTGCCAAGGCCACCCTGGTTGTCCCCAGCTCCGGCGGCGGCGGCGGCGGCAGCGGCGGCGGCGACGGCGGCGGCGGCGCCGGCGGCGCCGGCGGCGTCACCGCTGTTGCCAACTCGTTCCTGCTGCTGGTTCCTGCTGACGGCACTGCCAACAACGCCAGGTGCCCCGACCCGACCCCCGGCCTGGCCGAGATCGTCAACGCCGCAGTGGCCAAGATCAAGACTGTTCCTGGCCTGACCAGTGTGACTGGCGCGTTCTCCAAGTGCGACCTCCTGGTAAGAATCCTGTGCTGCGAGGTTTGAGGATATCTTCAATGAGTGGGATGCAGGCTCCTTGGATATTCCTTGATATTCCCCTACAGCTCCTTACAGGAGACCCCCAAGGAAAGGATAAGGAAAACCCCTGTTGTTGCAGTGAGCAGGCTATCAATCAGTCAAGCATCCACATGCGATTCAAGCGGAGGGCAGGTTGCCTAGTAGGATGGTTGCATGGCAAATCAGATCAGGAAGATGCCGAGTCATGTCGTTTATGCCCTACGCCTTTTCCCCCGCCCATCACTCCTCCACCTGCAGGACCAAGGCAAGGTGCTGGTGACCATCATCTACACCATCACCGCCCCCACCGCCGCCCCCATCAACACCGCCCTCGCCGGCATCAACTCGCCCCCTGTCGTCGGCACCGCGGCGGCTGGTGACAACATCTGCACCTCCTCCCTGCTGGGCTCGCTGTGCAACGGCACCGTCTTCACCGGCCTCAGGGTCACCGACGGCTGCGCCACGACTGCCCAGCAGTGCATCCCCAAGACCCTACGCGACAAGCGCTGCGTCGTGGACGGCCCCGCCATCGGCGGCTACACGTT